TTTTAAATGGGGTCATGGCATTAAGAACTGCAGGTCGCCGTCTGCAGAATTGTATGAGTGTGAGCCTGCTTTGAAAGATCTGAAGAGTGAGAAAAGTAATGCAACTTTATGGAGAAGAAACAACAAGAAAATGGGTGCCTGTGTTTCGAAATTGTTCGGTTAAGATCCAAAAGGCTGTGCTCACAAGAACTTCTGAGTTGCAATCAGCACCAGTATTGTCATGATGCTGAAATATCAAAGGCTATGTTCAGATGGCAGGGCTTAATGCTCAATTCAGATTTTTTTGTGAAATCAGATTTTTTTGTGAGGTTGTTCACATTTCCAAATAAATGCAACTTGTATGTGATCTCCAGTGTGAACTTTAAACACCCCAAAAGTGTCCCGCATGTGCATTGGAGAACACGATGACGTCACATGCACGAGCGTGCTCAGTGTTTATGGAAGTCGCCTAAATGTTGCGCTTGTCTCCCAAAATACGGTCCAGTTCTTCATAAAATGAACAGGTTACACATCCACTGCCACTTCCTTTGTTTGAGTCTTTATCCTCCTTGTATTTAGCTCGCAGGCTCTTTATTTTTTGTTAACTTTGGAGCCAGAACCGCCTGTAGCTGCACTCGGCCATTTCTTTGGCAACCATTTCAAAATCCGCCCGGTTCTGATAAGACCCCTCCAATTTGGCCTGAATACAGTGATCCTCCCAAGTATTAACAAACTCGCTAACCTTGCTTTCCCTCCATTGACCTGGCTGTTCAGACTGAATTCACATGTCAAAAGATTGGATATGTATCGGTTTTAGGAGCACATATCCAAGTGGCCTGGATCGCCTTTGAAAAAAATTGGATCTGTATCTTTCAGTCATTAAAAGATCAGATACAGGTTGCACATGGGCCGGATTTGGGTCACTTCAGGCTGCAGTCTGAATGTAGCCAAAGCCAGTTTTGATACTAGCAATTGATGCTTTGTATTGTCTTCATGCAGAATGTTCAGTACTATTACATAGACAAAAAAAGTTTTAAGTAAAAAAAACAACAACAAAAAACTAAACTTTAAAAACTCAATAAAAAATGCACAATGGATTTAAATGCACAATTTAAACAACTAACTAACTCAGGAGTCTGTGATCAATACGAGTGTTATTGGTCCTTTTTAGGTGTTTAATGTTCAACAAAAAGGTGACTAACTGAAAAACTTTTGGCTAATGCTCGCTAGTGACTGTAATGTTATTTGAAAGGGACTTGTTTAACACCTGATGTAGTTGATAAAACAACTCAGATTAAAGTTTAACTTGAGTAACAGAGCTTCAGACAGAGCAGTGTCCCCAGTTAGCATCACACCCCTAGAGAATGTTGATGACATCAGCTGCAAGGTATCAATAGCGGGGATGTAACAATATTCAAATCTCTCGTTACGATATTATCACAATATGCATCTCACTGTATGATATTTATTGCATTATTTTGAAGAGGCTAATATAATTGTAGATGAGACACATTTATGCTTCTAAAATACCTTGATAAGATTTTGGTGTGAATTATTACTGTCATAATCTCAAGAACTCAATTAAAAAACATATTTCTTCATGTTGTCTACACTGAAATGAATTATGGGATATGCAGTTCCCTATGTTTATAAGCTGTTGCTACTGTAAAACCATGCATAGGAACTTGTGATTTGATATATGGTGACAGTCATATTATTGTGAGACTTTTAACGATACAATATCATGATATTTCAGTTATTGTTACATCCTTAATCAACAGTGCTGATACTTGTTCAAATGAGTATCTAATTTCAATACTAAAATCTGATTTTTGACAGCACTAATCAGCACTGTAAAAAAACATCTAAACAAGTAAATTTTCTTTTTCTTTTTCTTGGGGTCTCCTTTTTCCTGTCCTGCAAAAATGAGTGTATATGAACAACAGGATAATCTTCGAGCTTGGTACTCTTAAGCAAGATACTCGCTCAAGATCTGGAGATTGATCCTTGGCAGAGATATAGTAGTTATTGCTGTGCCTAGAATGTTCCACAGTACAACACTGAACTTATCTATCTCCGTGGAGACAAGACCGCCAAATTAAAAGTTAGACCTGTGAGGTGGAAGATCAGCTGAGCTCACAGTAAGAATGCATGGTTTTCAAAGTATTTTATCAATAGAAATGGACCTGTAATGGATTCAATGATCAATGGGTATTGTTAATATTTGTAACATTGTGACATTTCAGGCAAAGCAATAACATCTCCATGGAGACAAGCAGAAAAAATACTTAGTCTGTCTTAAAAATGCAATGAACAAATGTATCAAACACAGGTATATCAGAGTCTACCCTTGCCCTAATATGTATGCACAAAATCAAATAGACAAAAGGATTCAGTCTAGGTCTTATCTTAATGTTTGTTAAAAATAACACTTTTTCTTCACATTAAAATGTAAATGTCTTATCCGAAACACAAAAGCATTTGATAAAAATGTAATCTATATTTCTTTCAAAACCACTTTTTAAAACTTTGCACACGGGCTTTGTCCATTATCCATGGTTGACATTTCAGTAGAACGCGCAGTCCTCAGATATCAATGCACTGTCTGAGTCTAGAGCTAAAACTAATGAGGTTTTACAGGTTTCCGAGGTACTTTGATTCTCCATTGTTGGTTGGCTGGAGTTCACTGCATGTTGACGCTGATGGTGAGAGGAATAGCTAATCAAAAGATTTAAAACCCTAAGAAGTGGAAGAAAAAACACAGTGTGCAAGTGGGTGCCATTTTAAGGTAATTTACAAAGCCCTGGTCTTATTTGGTTAGAGTTACTTACAGTTCTGTTTTCTAGGTATAAAATAGTAAAAAAAAAAAAAAGTATTGTTATTTTACTATCAATCACTCAAACTTATGTTTTCATGTAGCACTTTGTAACAACATTTAATCGATAATGGTTAATTGGTCCTGTAAAATATCACATTTAGAGGTGCTATACCTGATTTAAAATGTGATAAACACAGAACTAGTTTTAATTTTAAACTGTTTGCTATGGTCCAAATGTATTCCTCACTTTCTTATCGCATTCCAAGTATCATCATAATTCACTGTGATGAGTTTATCAATGCTTTTCACATCTTTCAGAGGTGACAACTAGCATTCTAACAACACACAAGGCTTACTTTCTGGTTTGCTGACAATAAAATCACTATATAATTGCAAACAGTACTTCCTTGTCGATATATGTACTGGAGCAATCAATCAATCTTTATTTATAGAGCGCTTTATAACACTAAAGGTGACCAAAGTGCTTTCCATTAAAATCAAAATAGCAAATTATTAAAGAATGAAATAAAAACTGTGCAAAGTGTCACTGCTGTGTGTTGCCTGTCTGAATAGATAAGTTTTGAGTCTGGGTTTGTGGGTAAGATCCTGTTTGAATACAAATGGTACTTTACTGCATGAAAAAATGGATACAGCCTCTTAAAAAAAACAAAATACTGAAACTCATGAATATCTCCATAAAAAAATCTGTCATACTTTACCACCATTATACACATTGTACTTGGCGCGGTGTAAGTTTACCAAAGTTTATTCTTTCAATTAACTATTCATTGCATCTCCTAACACTCTTCTTAACTACTTCAGCTGGGACAAAGTCTACAACAACACTTTGTATTTTAAAACCAGGTCCATAAAACCTGCAGAGTGGAAAATGTCAATTCATTTTTCAATTAGCCTGGGGATGAGAAGAGACAGCGGTGTGTCCAGTATATTGATTCACAGAGAGGCGTGACAGGGACAAATAGACCGCCCAGGGCCCGAGCAGAGCTGTTCTATATATTGTTCAGACAGTGGAACGATATTGAGAAAAAGGAAATAGATATTGGAAAACTTAACATCAGGAAATAAAAGGTATGACATGGAATAAAAGAGGTTCACGTCAGCTTCTGTGAAATGAGTGTGTAGTTTGTTTACATGCAATAATGGTTTTAGACAGTTTTAGACATCTTAGCTGAATTGGTGGTTTTCAGATTCCACATACTCCCAGATGAGGGCAAGAGACAGATTTCCCCTATTAATAACATTGCACTTTGCCATGAGATATCCAAAAGGTAAATAGACCCAAGAGCCCTCTGTGTTGCAATATTCATCTGCATTTTAACAATATCTTTATTAAATATTGCTGGCCTATAGAATGTTCCCATGTCATCTGAAACCAAGCAGTAAATTTGCATTCACATCAGATCAAGTTAAACTGGGACTGAACCTAGAACTAAACCTGGACTACACCAGGACTAAACCAGGGCATAAAGAGCCAAGCCAAGTCTAGCTTTAGGATTTGTTCACTCGACGGTAGGCAGGTACCTTTTTATTTAACCAACCACTGCTATTTGGTCGTGACATATGTAATTCGCCAAATCCCATAGGAAGAAGAGCAATAACGTCTTTCCCCTTGATAAAATTCATCAAACATTCTCTTTGTCCCAGCTTTAAATCCTCAATGTCGAGAATCGTTGCCAACACAGAATGTCTGTCTTCATCTACATCCATCTCAACCTCTTTGTTTACTGCTGTGTTGTACCACAAAAAGGACCCAGACAGGCTCTTCAGTTTGACGTCATGGCTTCACAGCTCTTCGCTGATTGTGCAGCGCGCAGCCTACAACTTCTGGGGTTCTTGTAAACCGTCTAGTGTATTCTGATTCCTGATCTAGTTGCTGGAGAGAAATTAAATTGAGCAGAGGCACTAGGTGGCGCCAGCCTGGCTAAGCCAAGTCTACATCAGGACAAAACTGGGCTAAAACCAGAAGAAGTGTTAAAAATTAAATCTTGACTTAAAATTATGTGATCTTACTACTTATAATTATTTTTGTAAACCAACTAACATAAAATATTTAAACAGAAAAAATATAATACAGTTATTATTAACAGTTTAAATTTTGATGGGTTAATGAAAGAAACAAGGCTGAATATGTTGCTTCTTGTTTAAATTAAAACTAACCAGTAATTCCATATCTATCTTTCAGGATCTGCAGAGGAACGGTAAAGCCAGTGTCCCGGTGGGCAGGTGGCCCAGTCTGCTCAGCCTCACCTGTCCCAGGAGCAGTGGCAGTGACCAGTCCCTGTCGAGCGGCTGCAGCGAGTACTCCTCAGGATCACACACCTGGGCAGAGGGGAGGGGCTTATCAAAACAGGTGAGTACAATTACTAATACAAATCAACAATAGGCTCTATTCCAGGAAGACGTTTGGAAAGATGCGATTACAACTTCTGGCAGGCTCTGTTCTAGTAAAAATTAGAAAATGATCAAGTTTTCTTCATCTACATCTACATGTAATTGTAGTGTTCCGTTACAACCATACCTATGTTCATAATTTCATCTTGTTTTGAACAAACACGCCGATACACTGCTCCCTATCCTGGTGAAAGGTGTCACTGCCCCCATAATCAGCTCTTAGTAACCCTATTTTGTTTGACTTTCTTTACAGTGTGGTGGAGGGCGAGACAAACGTCTGAGCAGTGGATCCTTCTCCAGCAACCAGTCTGCTCCCATTGAACCCACAGAGCTCGGCTGGAAAGAGGGTCACATACTGAAAGGACTGAAACGTCTTCAGATGTGTCCCAAAGAGGCTTCCTTGCACCCCTCCAGTCCGCACTGCAAGGACTGTATGACGTCTAACGAAGGCATATACTCTTTCGGGATGAAGTGCGGACAGAAAGTTAGCGCGACCAAGCAAGTGACGCCTGCTAGCAAGACTAATAAAGAAGTGGCTGAAGATGTAGCAGCTAACGTGGCTAACAGTGAGGCTAGTGAGCAACCGGCGAAAGAGCCAATTAGTCTGGATAAACTTGGCAGTTCAAAAGCAGCCGATACTGGTCTTTTGCTATCACCCGTGACCGATAATTTCTCATTTTTGCCCACGGTTAAGCCAGGAGTTAGCCCGACAGATGGCTTGCTGCAAATGGATGATGACAATTCACTAGAAAGGCAGAAATGTTTGAAGTTAAGTGATAAGAATAATAACCAAGAAAAGACAACGGATAGAAAGTCTAGGCTGGATCAGGTTAAAAAGCAGCAAGGCGGTTTGAAGCAAGTGGAGAAAGGAAGTATTCAAAGTACTGCTACTAGGGCCCTAAGTAGTGAGGCCAGACAGAGGAGCTCATCTATGGAAGTACCTCAATGTAGGGACCAAGCAAGTCAAGTCGAAAACCAGGAAAATGGAACAGCCGAATGTTCGCAACTGGGATTTAAGTTAGATATTAGCGATTCAGCGAGGAGGGCGTTCATTTTGAGGAGTAAGAGTGCAGATGGAGGACAAGATCAAACAAAACATACCCACTCACCTCTGCACCAAAAACTTATCAAGGATCATAAGCAGAAAGCACAAACCAGTACTCCTGGGCAAAGCGTAGCAAGTAAACGTACAAGTTACAGCAAAACTCACGGTGCAAGCAAAAATCAGTTCGGCAAAATTGAAAGAGACGAGCATGAAGTAGTGACAACTTCAAAATCTCTTGATAATGTACAAAATCGATCCCCTCTCGCATCTCCGGTAAAAAATTCAAAGCCATTTAAGACTCAGGAAGGTTTGAAGAGTCCAACTAAAATCCCGATGCAAATTACAAGATGCCAGTCAAATAATGAAACGATTGAAGATGGTGTTTATGATAATTTACTGTGTTCGCCCCGAAAGCAAAGAAGACAAGATTACGATGTTCCGAATTCTGAGCATAGGTCTCCCTCTCCCCCGCCACCTCCTGGACGAAGTACTTCACTGCTTCTTAGATCGAGCTCAGATTCCAAAACTCAAATGCCGCTTGGGGTCAAAACATCAAATTCAGCTAAGTCCAACCAGCTACTTTGTGGGCCTGACAATCAATATGCAAAACTAGACACGCATATCGGTTCAGCGAGAATTTTTCAAGTTCATGAATCGCAAGCTGGTCCGTCAGTGGTCACTTGCCACAATGAAAACGGACCACATTTTATATTAGCAAGTCAAAATATCCTCCAGCGATCTCAACAAAGCATCAGTGAGCCAAAGCTATCCGAAGCGCTTCCACATACATATTCAAATGTTTACTATCACGGCATTGTTCATAACCCGCAAAGTTCAACATCTAGAGCTGTTAAAATGGCCATCCCAGTCAATGCAAAGTCCCATGAAGCAATCGCTGGACAAGAAAGCAATACTTTTCTTGTTTTTGAACGCCCAGGCAAAGATGAAACAAAATGCCTCAAAACTTTTCAGTCTTTTTCCTGCGATCCTCAAAAGATGCAAGATGAAAAAGCTCGCCGTAGAGTTGACATGCGTTGTAATTCGTTGGATTCGGAGCCTTGTGTACAACCACTAGCTCCCGAACATGGCGTAATGTTGGATTGGGGATTTGACGAAGAAGGCTGGCTGTTCAAAAGATCAGTTTCGGTATCGACTAGACCTCCTTTCAAGCCTGTAATGGGTATGAACGGTGCTAAAGCACGTAGCCAGAGTTTTGGAGCACGCTACATGGACAGACCAAGTTTCAATCGGTCTGGTAAAGTTCGAACGCAAATCAAAACCCACTCAGGAAGTTCGTTAAATTCTCTGGGCGATGTCCTTCCAGGTAGTATGAGCTGTTCCAGTAGCTACCACTGCCCCATGAATCGATCGCTCTTGAATAACTTTTTAATTGAAGAGGGTCTATCTGCTCCTTCCCATTTGGCGTCATCCAGTGAAAGATTACAAAGCTTAAAACTACAACGTGAACAAGCAAGAAGATTACAAATCGAACAACAGTTTTCCAGCGCTTTTGGAGAGCCAGTATCTGAAGAACCGGAAAGACAAAGTACAATTACCACTATAGAAGAGAAGGTTATGATTGGGATCGAGGAAAATTTGCACAAGTCGCAAGAGCAAGAAAGAACCACGGAAGTGAAGCAGAAATCAGGGTCAAGTTTGGCAAATTGGTTTGGGTTTAGAAAGAGCAAACTGCCAGCGCCAAGTAAAAAGACGGAAGCACCGAAAGTAAAAGAGGAGAAGAGGGAGCAGAAGATTACGTCATTGCTTGGAGGGAAACAGACCAAGGCCGACAAGAAGAGAGAAAGACGGAAAAGTGAAGGCAAAGAAATGTAAGAAACTAAATGCATTTGATATCAGTGTTGTCTATTTAGTGAGGTGTGTGGTTGAGTGATACTATAGAACAGGTAAACAAGTAAACACAAACAACCACATCTGCCATTTACTGGTTAAAAAAACATCTTTAAGTGAGTTTGAAGTACTTCTATATAAAATGCCATACTATAGCAATCTATTTCTTGCTTGGTGTTGCCTGTAAACATGTACTGTATTTTCAGATGGACAATTCATGATTATATTGTTGATATAGATTTATTAGCCTTCTGAATTTGGACAAAAAAATAGTAGAACTTTCCTACATTATGTTTTGATTGTAGTGCTTAGACTACTGAAGTTCTAACCACACTTTTTGAATTTAGGGATTACCATGAAATATATTAACATTAAAACTCTTAATTCCTCTAAATCTCTTTAACCTGTCTGCCATGATATCAGTTATTTTACTCAATACAGTGAGAAGAGTAATTTTTTTTTCACAATTATTGACACCATGACTAAACAACTGGGAACTATTTTTTCTCATAGATTACCAATCTTTTGAGACCAACTTCCCGAATGATGCAATAAAGTTAGCGTGACATAAAAAGCCACATAATCACTTAATATTTATAACATTATAATAACGTTTTTGGAATATAAATGGAATAATTTTGATATTATTGTGACCTAAATAATCCTGATTTTCAATTAACCATTTACCATACCACAACACTTACAAAATTTACTCAATTTTAAGCCACGTTATCTTCTTAAAAACAAACCTGGCGTTGTGTGTTGTTTCTTTCTCACATGTTTGAGTAATCTATTATTATTAGTCTGTCACCTTGTGGTGTCATCAAGCTGTAGTTTTCAAGTACTTTTTTACCTTTTATTCAGTAGAGATCAGCAATTCCAGGGCTAGAATTATCAAAATGATTCTAGTGAAGATATGGAGTTTAAAAACACAGTGGAATTTTCAGTTTGAGAGAACTCAGCCTATACGTTTGTGTCTTAAACATTTGTGAAGAAACACAAGACAACGGCAGCTATGTTTTATTCATAAATTAGAAAATAGCGTATATATGGGCCCTTTAACCAAATAATCTTCTGTACCACACCACTTAACTTTTAAACTTTGCCTTGTGCTCTTCCATTTATATGAACTATTGACATCTCCATCTCATCTCATCACTGCCCAAAGCTTCAATCAGATAAATTGGCCGATATCACTTAGTCCAATATTATTATTTACTGCCTTATATGCTTAAATCTATCATACTATCTTAGACACATCAGTCATTCTCTCCCCTGAAACAAGTTGTGACACATTTTATAAAGATTCTTGCCAGGTTTTCAGAGATAGAGGTTCATCCATCAGTAGAAAGCACTCTAGGCATGTTGGGGCTTTGTCTATGGATGCTTTTGTTGATAAATGTTTATTTCTCACAGCTCCGTTACGAGGAGAGAGCCCCATGATGCAGTGCGCTCTTGTATCTCAATGCCATGTCCTGGAATGTCCCTCAATGACCTACAAGCACATGCAGACATCACTGGAGACCCAAAGGTAATCTACAAGGCAATGTATGGTGTAAAGCCAATGGGAGTTTGGCGGTTTTGAATTGGTAATTTTACTTTTCACACGTTTTAGTATTGCTTGGCCAGAAAGTTGTAGTAGGCCTATATTAAACCTGAGGTACCTGAATTAAAGTTATAGTATGTAACTTTGTGGAGGTGGAAAGTCATAATTTCATGCAAATAAATAGTTAAAAACAGACTTCAAAATATTACAAGATTATCATGGAAACAAGCAGGTAGAGGCCTTCCTCCAGGCCAAATAAGAATCAGGTTTGTGGAGATGCAAGGCCACTTACAGTAAGAATGATGTTCTTACACATTTTCCAGTGCAATAAAAACATCCATAAACCACATGCTTTAATTTTAGTTTATATTTTGGCAAAAAAGTTACACACTATAACAAGTAATAAAAGTTGTGTTATTCTCCAAAGGGAATAATGTAACAGCAGCACTTTACTATTAGATGCAGATGGTGTGCATTTTGGAACAAAGTGTTTTTATTTCTCTTCAACCTAGAAGTAAGGACCAACTTGCACTTGGGCGGTACATCCCAGTTTCACTTTGCCATCCAAACATTGTTAATTCAAAATATATATGCCAGTCACACCAGCCAAAAAATGCATAATGAAGAAGAAAAAATGTATACAAGTCGCACCAAACTATAAGCACTTTTTGCGGAATATGTATTTTATAAAATCAGAAACCAGGAATCGATATTTCATCTTGAGATAGTTATAGTAATAACAATAGAACAGAGAACAACAGGCTGTTAACATAACATATGAACAGTTCTTCAGATAACTATAGCATAAACAACACAATTCACTTCTGTGCATTTCCACGACCTCCGGAGGTAAATGGAGTGCCACTTTTCTGAATTTCGACAGGATGGTTTCGGTTGTCACTGAAGTTCAGGCTTTGATCCATCCAGTGACTTCAAGAAAGTTACATGCCACACCCTCCCGGTTGTTACAAGTAACTCACTCACTCTAAACTGTCTTTCTGCTGCTCATTTACCATTTTCAGCTGCAGATTTCACCACTTGAAGCTTGTAATCTGCAAAACATTATTTTAATTTTGGGAGCATTTGTGTTCAGTCTTCTCAGTTTTTATGAGTTTGTTTTAAATTTTAAATTTTCAGTGGTGCAGAAGTAATGGTGCGATCGACTGACATGATACAGACAGGACAGAGGCTTTCTGCAGCCGACATGCTCAGTAGAACCAAGTGACAGTGGTACAGGAGTAATAGGAGTAGCAGATACTAACACACAAGCCTAGAGCGCCCTCTCGCGGCTGTCAGTGTGAAAATTTTGATATATAAATCGCACCGGAGTATAAATCACAGGACCACCCAAACCTGGAAAAAAGTTTAACTTATAGTCTGAAAAATACAGTAATATGATTGTATTAATTTCCTATATTTAATGATGAAATGTTTTGCTAACTTTGATTTATTTCTCCCAAAGATGCCGATGTTGAACAGGAGATCTGACAGTGAGAACGGATCCGCAGTGACAAGCCCCTCCCAAGACGCCATCATAGGTCTGAATAACATTTTTCTATCTTCTTCCTAACCACAAAATGTGACTTTTTAGCTACTTGTTTCAGCTTTAAGAATCCACTATGTGTGCTTTACCATTTTACAGTTTGCAGACAGAAGTGAAGACCAAAAATGAATATTATGTGTAAGTCTTGACTATGGTGAACTTGCTGTTAGCAGTGAGACGTGCTCGATGCTAACGTCAGCCTGTGTGCTCCATGTTTCTTTTTCTCATTTGCTTGTTGTGCTGTTTTTTATGCATTTGTAACACTTATTTAACCAAAACATTTGTATATTAACAGTGGGTTTGAGACCTGATTGCTTGTCGTCATAGCTTCATTCAGTAAAAGTTGCATGCACAGATTCAGGCATGGTGAAGGCACTTGCTTTAAACTGTTCTATTGAGTTGCTTTGAGAATGGATTACAAGGCTGTTTACTTAAAATTATTCTCTTCTTCACTTGCCTTTTATAATTTGCTTTTGGGTGTATTCCAAACCAGCATCTTTTCAAAAACAATTACCTCTGTAGACTAATCTGTGTCTATATACTTTTCATCCACGCAATTTCACAAATTCTTTCAGGCAAAGTGGATGGAGTATTTTACTTAATGTTACAGCAAACCAATGCTTCAGATTCCTATGAAAATATCTTTACCAACTTTGACATTACCACACCACACGTTTCTATTAATACATGTAGTATTATAGAAGTTGTAGTAATAGTGGTAGCAGCAGCAGTAGCAGTACTATTAAAAGAAACAAATATGCAACTACTGTAACAACCAGGGATGTAACAATAACGGAAATATCGCAATATTGTATCATCAAAGTTCTCACAATAATATCGTGGACCATCACAAGTCTACAGAATTACAAGTCTCTTTGCTTAAATTAAGAATTATGGTGCAGCAATAGCTAAAAAAGACAGAGAGAACTACATAAACCATGATCCTTTGCTCCATTTCGGTGTAGACTACATGAAGAGATAACAGCACTTTTAAGTGGTTCTTTGGATTAAGTCTTAATCATTAATCATGAGCCTCCTCACCATATGTGAGCTTTCCCACAATATTGCAATAAATATCATACCGTGAGGTTCATACCATGACAATATCGTATCGTGAGACTTACATATCGTTACACCCATATAACAACTGTTTCTGTTACAGTGTTGTTTTCTCATCAAAAATATATATTTCATTTACACATGTTTAACACACAAACTCTGCATATTTAGGTGTGAAAAACACAGAAAACACTGTCCCACCATGTGATGTTATGTGATTAGGAAGTGCTCCACTGTGTTTTAGAACTTCATACACCTTCACTAGAGTCATATGGATATTTTCAGCTCTAGAATTGCCTCTCAATTAAACAAAAAGTAAAAGGATGTTACCTTGAAAAGTACTTTGAGTTTTGGAGATGTAGATAGAACAATAACAAAGGATTACTCAAACATGTGTGAATGAAACAAATTTTTTTTTAAACAACATTGTAACTGGGGATGTGCAAAAATATCGAAATACCGAAATATCAATATATCGTATTGTTTAATGTGATGATACACTATCAATTTCAGGGAGTTTTTGTGTATGTATTAACTGTGGTTTAACAAAGACTTTTAGTATCACAGCCATCATTTAGCCTTTATTTTTTATTGAACCATATCAAATCGATTTGAAATATATCGAATCGAATCAAAAGCTCACTGTATCGAGATATGTATCGTATTGTGGCCTATGTATCAAGGTATGTAAAGTATCGGCAACTTCTTAATGATACTCAGCCCTAATTATAACATGGCTTAATGCTCACAAGAGTCAAGTTTGTGTAATATAGGACCTTTAATCCCTTTATATTAAGACCTGGTTTAGTCCTCGTTTTATTTGTTTTATTTAGCAGGGACAGTGTACATTAATCAAAATCTCTATAAATGTACCAGAATTTTCCATCTGTAGTCCCTGGACAGATGGCAAAAGTGGTCACAGGATTAGAGTTGTATAGTTCTGTTTTAGACCAGGTGGTAGTGGTAGTTATGTGGCACTTCTTCTGCTCTCTGGGCAAACCAGGTCAAGACTCTGCTTGTGTTTTCCATTGTTGGCTTCAGTGTTTTTAAAGGAAATGTAGATTGGCACACACAGTACTGTCTCCCCCACTCATTGCAAATATCAAACATTCTCTTGACCTAGAGGGAAGGGTGAAATGTCTTAACTACACTGCAAAAAAACTAACAAAATCTAGTCAAGTTAAGATGACTTAAATTATAAATGTTTTATCATGATTTGAGTAAATTTCACTTGACAAGTAAAATTATCTGCCAGTGGAAGACTTTTTGTACTTATAAATGCATCTTGCTACACTTAAAATAAGAAAAACAACAACTGTTTGCACTTAACATAAGAAACACAATCAAATGTTGCTTGAATTAAGAAAAATACACTTGTTCCATTGGTAGATGATTCTACTTGTCAAGTTGAATCTACTCAAATAAAGTAAAATGTTCTTAATTTTAGTAATTTTAACTTACCTAGATATTGTTTTTTTTTCCAGTGTAGTAATAGCAGTAGTTTGTTGTTTTAATAGCAGTAGTAGTAGTAGTAGTAGTAGTAGTAGTCGTAGCAGTAGCAGTAGTGGTGGCAGTAGTACCAGTAGTAGTTGTTGTGGCAGCAGCATTATTTTTTGAACAGTGCAAACCAGGTCAACACGCTGCTAAGTATTTTCCATTTCTTAAAGGACAGGTATGAAAATGGACATATTTAATCAAAACCCAGTATAACAGTAGTTGTTGTAGTTGTTTTGCTGTGATAGTAATAGTAGTAGTATCATCCGTCATTGTTGTAGTAGTGGTAGTAGCAGTAATAGTAGCAGCAGCAGTTTTACCTTTTGGCCAGTGCAAACCAGGTCAGGACACTAAGCATGTCCCATATCTTAAAGGACAGGTAGAGGACTTTCTGATTGGCTGTACAACACACCACTATCACAGCTCTCATAGCAAATATCAAACATGGCTGACTCGGACCTTCTCTTGCCCTGGAGGGTTAATCACCTCATTAAAATTTCATTGGTGCTCGCCTAAGCTCACTCATCCGAGCCACTAGTCGGTGAATTAGCGCTGCCTTCAGCTCTTGTTGTGATCGGAATAGATTTAAGCTGCCTGGACTCGGGTCACGCTCCGCAGCCCTGATATGCACTTGGTCGATCGGTTGACGACGCAGTTTTTTAATTTGACGGTTTAAGACAACTAGAGAAAGCAAAGAAGAGGCAGTGTCCCGGGATGTCAGGAGTGAAGTTAAATATTTTGTGCTGATGAATAGTTGAGGGTGGAAGGATGGAGGTTACACCAAGAATACTAGTGTGAAATTACAACAGCAGGTACCTCATAATGAGATCATTGATTGCAATATATATGCGAGTGATATTTTTTATAAACGTACACAGGTGGCACCTTAAATACTGGCGCCACTTTGAATTCATATGCACGACATAGTTCACTTCAAAAGTATTTTTAGGGATGCACCTCTCCAGCGCTTTCAGGTCCGATGCAGTTCTGATTCTATAGCTCTAAGTATCTGCGGATATCCCATATGAACCGATACCAGTGCACAGAAAGTAAACAGCATTTATTTTCTTAAAACGAAAGTAAACAAAGACAAAATGTGTTATGTAGCTGTAATTTATTTTGCAAGTAGCTACAGAACAACTTTGTATAAATAAAAGTTCAAACATTATGAGACTTTCTGGACAAATACTACCAGTAAACAGTCCTATTACTATTATTATCAGTTTATATTTCCACCCAGAATATTGGCTGAAATGATATCTGGAAACCGATATGCGATCCTGCTAATGTTTCAGTATCGACGCCAATATCCGATGCATCACAAATTTTTATTCATACATTTTTTTTAACCCCATTGTTTTTTCAAGGAACAGGCAATATTCCTAGCCTGATTTATTTCGTAGAAACCGTCTGACCTCGCAGTGTTAGAATTTGTTTGCTCATCGGTAGGCGGGTACTTTTTATCATTTAACCAATCGCTGCTATTTGGTCGTGACGTATGTAATGCGCTGCTAACGGAGCTAACTGGTATATTAAGCTTTTCCCAAATCCCGTAGGAAGTCTTTCCCCTTGATGAAATTCACCAAACATTCTCTTTATTCCGCCTTTAAATCCTCGATCTCGGGAATCGTTCACAACACTGAATATATGACTTTTCACTGATTGGCTGGTGCCCAAACTCGCACTTTCAGGGTTTTTGCGAACTATGTAGTGTATTTTGATTCATGACCTAGTCGCTGGAGACAAATTAAATTGAGTGGAGGCACTAGGTGGCGCCATCCTGGCTACAATATTCCTGTTTATATTACGCTATTGTCTGAGCTATTTTATAATGTTGTTTCCTCATCAAAAACATAAGCAGTTGTTTTTCATGATGATGTCATTTGGTATACAAGTGTTCCAGTGGTTTTTAAAACTTTACTAGAATAATTTCGAGAATTTCAGAACTGCCAATCTCTACTGAACTAAAGGTAAAAGATAGTTAATAATTTGAAAATTACCGCTTCATGACACCACTTTGAGCTTTGAGATGTAGACTGACTAATAATAAAGGGCTACTCAAACATGTGTGAATGAAACAAAACACAACTTCAGGTATGTTTTTGATGTAACAACATTATAACATGGCACATGGCAACATGGTTCTCAATAGTCAATTTTACGTAATATAGTACTATGTTTGACAGTGAATATTTATAGTACATTTATGGTGAACAGATAAAAGGTTATTGTGTGAGAGGAGAGGAAGTAGAATGATACTGGATGAACTGCAAAACTATTTATTCTAAAAACATCTAAACTTATACAAAATGTTAGTCCTTGTAGGTAAAGCTCCAGAGAGTCTGCACCACTCCCACTATTTGGTTTACATTGGATTTCATCATAACATGACCTCCAGACATTTCTAAATGATTTAACACAGACTACCCTAAAACTCTATTT